CATTTAGTGAGAGTTGAAAACCTAAGTCGCAAATTAGAAACGTGAAAAATAAATTTTCTTGTGTATTCTATAAATATTTTCTGTTTCTTACGGTTAAGAAACATAAATGAGGGAAACATGTGCATTTTATTTATTAAAGTCGACAATAGTAACTGTAAAAAATTCATTTGTTAATATTTCATCTTTAAGAGACAGTATCGAATATATCGAATGTATCGATAGATGGCTGATCCGCGTCGTGACGTCACAGGAATATATCGATAAAAATTATTAAGTAACAAATTGTTTATTTGGTATAATTTTGTAATTATTTTATTTATTTTCGATATTTACTGTAATTATTATGAATTATTCGAGATATAAGTCACAACTTTTCTTTTAAATATACCATCGAGAGTCGAGACGATGTCCTACGTGACTCGCGCACCCTACCCCCACCACTTATTCGCAACCGACGGTTGGGTCCGCCATTCCTTCTCTTGAAATTGGTGGAGTCAGACGCGTTGATAGCTGCGCACCAAATCAGGTACATTTCTTTCCTTATTTCAATCTAAATGTTTCTAATTGTTCTCAATACACTCCCTTACTCTTTACGGATGCTTAATTAACATCTAGGTACAATTATTTGAACGTATTTCATCGAAATTTGTCCTTTTTTTCTGTTTCAGATTTTGTTGCAATTCGAGAGGGACGTTGCCGGTACAAAATGGCCGACATGGTCAGAAACTTCGAATCGAAGAAATGTTGAATCGAATATTGGTAACATTTACTTTATTTGTTAAACATGTTTATACATTGTTGTCTCTTCATCGATTTAGTATTGAATTTAGCATTAAATCGATAAATGGACAAGTCTGTGAGGTTACTTATTTTTCATTTCTAATCTCAATCATTCTTTCAGAATTTTTTATGACCGCGTGCAATGCGATCGGTAGAATCGGTGATTGTTGCGTAGATAAGTTTGTTGGTTTTCGAAGCACAGTTGCTTCGAGTAGAGTTTCGTTTACTGTTTAGGTACACGCGAAGGTCGAGTCAGTGTTTGATACGCATTCGTAAATTCTGTCCAGAGCATCGGTGCTCACCTTGATTTATAAATCGCGAAAGTAAACTCATTTGTTCGCCGATATGAATTTACGGTCGCGTTAATTTATTATTCTCTCATAGTCTTGAACAATTTCTGTTTCCAAATTTTGAATTATTCGTTACCGGTATTAGAGTCAGTCAATCATCACGGGACATGAATTATGGACGATGCTTCACGACCAAAAAACGTAAGTATCATACTACATTTTTCTATGCACTTTTAGAAAAAAATGATATTATTAAATTTTGTTTAAATTATCAAAAACCCGTGATTAGTTTTGAACGTAGAGTCCATTATATTAAATTATGAAATTTCTATAATCTTTACGATGGATAATAATTTCTTTTCTTGTTCTTTACAGTTCCTGGATTTCGTCCTCACGTTTTGCAGACCAACAGGAGCATGCAGACGACTTCTCCAACGACTTCGATTGGGCAGCATCATCGTCGTGGACTCGTCCCAGAGGAATTCTCCATCATAGTCTGCGAACTGTGAGTTGCATGCAATTTTTATTCCTCCGGTCCCCAATCATGTTGTAGGACGAAAGGTCCGTATCAACACGGGTGACCGGTTGTATACGTAGATACTATCTTTGGCAAGTATAGTGACCGCGGGTATAAATCATACCCGTGAGTAGTAACAATTATTGTTATATTTTGTTATTTCAGGCTAGGCTCTTCTTGCACTCCGGGTTTTTTAAATATCATAAATAAATGCTTTTTAGAGAATCAAATAACTTTTCATAAGAATATTTATAAATGAAAATATATTAAATATTTTCATCATCATATGATTGAATAGATATTAAAATATGGATGCTAAATATTTATTTTCTTTTCTTGTTTTTTGCCTTAATTATAAAATGATGATTCTCACAATACTGGTCGTATATGAAACATATATTATTAAATATTAATTGTTTCCTTAATTGATACATCACATGATGTATTTTAAGTGCAAGAAGGCATTTCGCGTTTGGTAGATTTTCTGCTCAAAGTAAAATGCATTGTATTTTGGTTTCATTTTTTGAAAAATTTACTTTGAGAACTGAATCTACTGAGAATATCTCAATATTTAAATTAATAACTCAATAAATTTATTTAAATTATATATCTAAAAGTTTCAATGCAAATTATTTTATCATAAAATCTTTATTAAAGTTTTTCCTTTTACATAATTACATTTAAATTACAATAATTTTTGTTTAATAATAACATTTTTCTTATTTTTCATATTTTAATAGTAACGATTTTTGCTTTTAATATATCACAAATAAAAGTTCTCCTTATCCTACCTACAAATGAAATTAAAAGTACCGTCTCTATTATTTATTAATCATTGTTCCTAGTCAGGATTTTCAGGTTATTATTCCATGTTTGTTGCCTAAACTCATGCACATGCTCAGGTGCTATTTGCATGAGCGAAGGCAACGGGCACGATGACTTAGTTTATAACAATTTCTAATAATATATTGGCGACTGACATTGGCTGGTGTATCGTGCACGATGTACTTTCCACATATGTGTGTGTGGTTAGGTTGTGGGAAGTGCGCCGTTTCAGAAGTTTTTTATAATTATAATTTACATACAGAATTTTGTAACATTAAATTTCTATCAATTATAAAAACAATATTAAATTTCCATTTACTATTTATACAACAATTCTTGATATTGCACTCGCGACAGAAATATTATAAAGTGCTTAATAAATTAGCTTTTCAATTTTATATAATCATACATGTATACAATATATTTCATTGAAGACGATATTACATAGATTGAGACGTCCTATATGAATGTTTATGTATACAATAGAAAAACGCAATGGTCATTAGTCTTTGTCAGTCGGTTTCAGGAAATGGTACGTACATTTAGAGTATGAATGAGGTTGTGTCCGGGTGTCGGGGGAACCCCGGGGAGTCCCCTCTAGTTTAGGTCGCGCCCGGACATTGAGAATGAGAACCGTGGAGTGTATGTTTGCGAGAATGAGTTTTGCAATTTTTTAAATACAGCGTTAGGTAGGTAGGTCACTTATACTCTGGTGTGTGTGTTTAGACCTAAGTAGGTAGGGTCAGGGCAGGGCTGTCCACATTAAGTCACTCGGGTAGGCACGTTTTCGCGTGGCAGTCCTGTACCTGTAGTTACGATTTCGAGAGTTGAAAAGTTAGCCAATTCATATGGTTTTTACCGTTTGTTTTGGTGTTACTTTCCATTCTTGAAATCGTTGCGACTTCAAAGTCGCTCTTCGCGTTCGCGGTCGTGGTTAGTCCCCCTCGAAACGCTCGTCCCGCTCGAGTTTCTCCACACGTGGTCCGATAACAATTCCTTGAATTGTTGGACGATTGCGTATTGCACGGAATCTCGAGCCTAGTTTTAAGTTTCAGGCTTTGGCAGGACCGCCGAAGAAAGAAAAGACTCGATGGAGTCGAAGAGGCCCTGACAAACTGTTTCAAGAGTGGGCTGCAACGAATGGCTCTTGATCTTCATTTTTGAATGAGGATGGAAAGTCATTAATGTTACTACTTTGTCACTGTACTTGCCTGTAGTTGTAGTTAATTTGTTTCTTTTACTAGCTCACGTATGCATGTACTTTTGTACATGATTGCACCATACATGCCAGCCATCAGTTCAACTCGCGGTTTATATATTAATATTAACATGTTTACTGCCATTCCAATCTTACATTGACTCTTTAATAATACTTTGAACAATCGAACTCTAATATTTGTAATATAATTATAAAGTAACATCACTGAATATGTTAATATATCTATACTTTTCATACTATAATTTGTTTAAACGTGGCAGTCAGCGTGTTAATAGCTTTTTCAGTCAAATATAGAGTTGCGAATATGCAATAATCGCGTTTGATTTTAGTGTTGCGAATTGTTACTATTCGCGTTTCTTTTTCAGGGTAGAGTTGCGAATAATACAATTCGCGATAGCTTTATAACTGTTTTATATAATGTACATTAACCGCGTTTGCAATTTTCATATCATAAATTAGCGTTGCGTTCTTGATTAATCGTGCGATTTTTTCTTTAGCGTTGCGATATTATCAATGCCCAAATTCTACCCTAACTGTAGTAATAGTAGTAGTTAGTTCATTTTGTGGCCAGTACGTGTGCATTCACATGTACAATTAACCCCTGATTAAAGTTAGAGTTGCGAATAATATACAATGTCCGCGTTTGCTCGTAGAGTTGCGAATAAATATTAATCGCGTTGATATGTAAGTGTTGCGACTAAACACGATTCGCGATTGTCTTTATGCAAACCTAGGAACCGGGAGTTTGCTTTAAAAATAGCGTAGCGAATTATTAGTAAACGCGATTGCTATTAGAGTCACGTATCACTATTTTTCGCGTTTGCTTTTCAGGGTAGCGTTGCGAATAATTACCATTCGCGATTGCTTTTGTTGTTGCAAGTCGCGTTTTGGAATTTTTCTATTATAAATTAGCGTTGCGATTCTGATTTATCGCGTTGTTTGCCCCCTTAGCGTTGCGTTATTTAAAATGTCTAGCTTCATCCCACATGTGCCACTCTATCGTAGTTTGAAGTAGTTAGTTTATTTTATGCATGTGTATTTACATCCACCACTGAGGACACCAGCACCTGAGCCAGTATTTTTGGGCAATACGCGATTTTCATTAGCGTTGCGAGACATAAATATAACATTTTCATTAAAAATAGAGTTGCGAAAAATATGCAATAATCGCGTTTGCTTGTAGAGTTTCGAATTCCTATTTTTCGCGTATCCTTTTCAGGGTAGTGTTGCGAATTCCATACGCGATTACATTTATTGCTATTTAAGAATAGTGTCGCGAATGCACCGATCGGTTTGCTCTTAGCGTTGCGAATTACTATTTTTCGCGTTTACTTTTCAGGGTAGCGTTGCGAATAATCACCATTCGCGGTTGCTTTTATTCTTACAAATCGCGTTTGTAATTTTTCCATTATAAATTAGCGTTGCGATCTTGATTTATCGCGTTTTTCATTAATTAGTGTTGCGATTTAATGCCCAAAATTTCAAGCTGGCCACTGCTACTTCAGGATCAAGATGCAGCTGACTTCACAGAGCCTCGAATGGCTCAGGTTTGTTATTAAAAGTAGTGTTGCGTATTTCTCAACATAGATGCACGCGATTTTGTTAATATCACGAATAATTAAGCGCCCTCCGTGGCTGCTCCCGGGAAGTTCTTCATTCTTACGTTGTTTCTGACAATTTTATACCTCTTCTGTGTGCTTTTATTTACTTTCAATCATCCCATTCTTTTCTGCCGCCTCTGTCCTCTCCTCTGCATCATCGCATTTTATAACTGGCACCGTTGTTAACTTCTGCATTTCTCGTCCAGATTCTACATTCGATTTTTCTGATTTGTTCCAGGACTGTTCCTTCGATGTTCCAAACAGCATATACACGACTGCTCCAGCGATAGAGTTGGCAGCAGCTATGATAAATACTATACGCCACTGTGCTATAGTTTGCTAAAGGGGGGAAAATAAATTTTTCTATCATTTCTCACCTTTTTTCTCGTCTTTTACAGATATCGAAGATTGAAGATTTCCTTTCCTTTCTTTTAGCAATTCCTATCGATTTATAAGGCAAGTTGGTTACTTACATTGTTATTGGTTAGAGCTCCAACGACTGCTGGCGAGATGAAACCACACCATATGACTATCATTCCACAGAAGCCAAGAAGAACGCTAGCATAATTTGGACTGAGATCTACGAAGTTTGCTAACGTGGAGGCGGAAATTGCACCGTTCGCGGCAGTTCCCGCCATCATAAAGATCACTGCAAGTATCGGTTCACACCCACTGAAACCCAAAATTAGGATGAACGCGCCTTGCACAGCCGTGCAAACAAACGTCGCCAGTTTCCTAACGTTCGTCAAGCTCATTCTCTTGGTACGCAGAAGCCAGTCACACATAATCGAGAAGTAGTACGAGAAAATCATCCTCAGTAGGTGGGGAGCACCGGAAATGAGTCCAGTCTGCGAGCAAAAATTCATCAAAATCAATTTCTTCTAAATTCTGTACGTTCGTAAATCTGTATTGTTATTAAATTCGTAAGCCAATTTTTGTGAACAGTAGCAAATAAAATTTTGATGTAACAATGTTTGTGTTTACCGCGTTGATGTTCCAACCGTGAACGAAATTGAAGTAACTCGGTGTCTGAGTCATCAAAGTGAGAAAACCCCACCCACTGCCCCAGTGTGCAGTGATAGTGATCCAAACTGGACCCGACAGCCATATGGATTTCCAAGGTATTTTAGGCTTTTCCTCGTCGACAGTTTCCTCGACTGATTCACCCAGATTATCTAATATATATTTCTTTTCCTCGTCAGATATTCGAGGATGCTGCTGAGGGGAATCGTATACCAGAAATAGCCAGGCACAGTACCTACGAAATTTTGGTATTTTTATTAAATAAATAAATACAAAAAACTTTATCCAAGCGTTACACACTTTGTTGCAGATCAAAACTGAATAATTAAAAAATTACTATTCTTCATTTTCGTCTTATTTTGTCCCCTAGAATCCCCCACAGTAGTGCCCACTTAATTGACCACGCTTGGGACCAGTCGCGGTCGCGGTCACTTAAGTGGGCACTACTGTGGGGGGTTCTTGGGGACAAAATAAGACGAAAATCAAAAATAGTAATTTTTTAATTGAGGCTTCGTTGAAGAGTTATTAACATTTAAAGTTAAAATGTGCAAAGCGCGCGGTTCTCGTTTTACACTTCAACTTTAAACGTTAATAACTTTTAAACGAAGCCTCCATCAACAAATTAGTATTCTTTATTTTCGTCTTATTTTGGTCTCTAGAATCGCTCAGTAAAATTTTTTTCTCGATTTTTACACAAGATATCTGTGAAACTTTGAATTACCAAATTACACCTAGCAAAGACGTTACGTAAAAGGCAGCATCCCAGCCAAACGTGCTACTGACAGCTGCACAAAGTGGATAAGTTATGGCTGCACCGACAGAACTACCTGGAAAGTAACGCGTTAATAAATCTATCTCCAATTGTGAATTTATTCTTGCGTTAAATTATCGTTTAATGGATCTTACCCAAATAGGAGCTGACAAACTTGCTCCTCTCGATGGGGGGAATCCACTTTGCTGTCATATCGTGCATGGCGGGCCACACGACACCCTGAAAGATTACAAAAGAGTGAAATGTTAGAAAAGAAATATTTCAATGGGGGAAAATTCATTTTTGTGATTTTTGACTCACCGCCACTAGACCCTGAAGAACTCGCAAGAAAATGAGAGCATAGAGGTGATAATGTGTCATAAATGGAATTAGAAAGCCCAAAATGGCTGTTACAAAGTTCCCCAAACCGAAAACTAGTTTTGTCCCATAACGCCTTGCTAATAGTCCTCCAGGAAGTTGAGACAGCCAGTGCAGCCAATAATAGGCTCCCAAAGCTAAACCTTGCTGGTACTCGTTCCAATTAAATCGGTCAGTGTACTAAAAACAAAGTATTATTGAATTAAATTTAATTAATTAATTAATACTCTCAGATACAGTCATTTATTAAATACTTTGTTTTGAAATAAACACATCTGCTTTCTATTATTTCTTAGAATTTTTAAATATTAATGTTCTTGCCATTTTTATTCAAAATAATATTATTTTCATAAAAATTTCGTCCATTATTAAAAACAGTTGCTTCAATTATTTCTTTTATTTTTAGATAACCCAATTAGGACCGTATAAATAATCCCATCTCATGACATTGTGATACAAACACGATGATTGCTTAGCGTATTACGCGAGTAGTATCGCGAACACGATTTTACAATCCCTAGATTATGGTTTTTATCGTCAGATTATATTTCGTACCTCTTAAAGAATAAAGTTAGATGCTATAAATAGTCAACGATTACGTTTCGACAGTCTGGACTGTCGATTGTTTCGCAATATTGTCAAATAAAAATGACAAGTGGAAACATAAATTTGCTACCAAAAGCTACCCACTAAATCAAAAGATAAATTTTTATTGCGAAGGTAGGAAAGTTTAAAAGTTATTCGAGTTATTTTGAGTGTATTGCCACATAATGATACGCTGATTTGTTAATCACTCTCGTTTCGAGGTATAGTTTGAGGTGGAGAAATTCACGTACCGTAATATTCTCCAGGGGCGGTGCAATGGGGGGTGCAACCGTGAAAGTGATATTATTATCGATCGTTTTATTGACACTTTCGTGGTTGCATTGAGCAGCTGCAGCAGCTTTCGGATATGGCATCACCATCGCCACTATTGTTAGATTCAAGTTGATCCTCAGCATATAGTTTATGGCGAAGCCACAGAACACTACGTACCATAGTATACCCCGGCATGTTATCATTTCTTTCCCTTTAAACAAATTTTAACAAATTTTACACACAAAAATTATGCATATTATTTTAAAAAAATAATTACACGGTTCAGTTATTACGTACACCCTGTATAGGATAATTGTGAAACGGAAATAATGAGCATGTTTGAATGAATATTGAGAAATCTCGATGATAAATTGCTCATTCTGATTCTAATGAGAAAATCAGACGTAAATATCGTTCATCAAAATTCATGAAATCAGAAAAATTGCAATAAATTGATTGTAACGTTGAAAACATTTTGTGCAGAATTTTATTGGAATTTTATTAGAATTTTATTAGAATTTTTTTATTAGAATTTGAGTAGAATTCTATGAGAATTTTATGAGAACTTTATTAGAAGTTTATGAGAATTTTATTAGAATTTTATTAGAAATTTATTAGAATTTTATGAGAATTTTATTAGAATTTTAATAGAATTTTATTAGAATTCTATTGGAATTTTATATGAATTTTTTTATTAGAATTGTAGTAGAATTGTAGTAGAATTTTATTAGAATTTTATTAGAATTTTATGAGAATTTTATTAGAAGTTTATGAGAATTTTATGAGAATTTTATGAGAATCCTATTAGAAGTTTATCAGAATTTTATTAGAAGTTTATGAGAATTTTATGAGAATTTTATGAGAATTTTATGAGAATTTTATTAGAAGTTTATGAGAATTTTACGAGAATTTTATGAGAAGTTTATTAGAAGTTGTATGAGAATTTTATTAGAATTTTATTAGAATTTTATTGGAATTTTATAAGAATTTTTCGATTAGAATTTTAGTAGAATTGTAGTACAATTTTAGTAGAATTTTAGTAGAATTTTAGTAAAATTTTAGTAGAATTTTAGTAAAATTTTAGTAGAATTTTATTCGAATTTTATTAGAAGTTTATGAGAATTTTACGAGAATTTTATGAGAAGTTTATTAGAAGTTGTATGAGAATTTTATTAGAAGTTTATGAGAATTTTATTAGAATTTTATTAGAATTTTATTGGAATTTTATTAGAATTTTATAAGAATTTTTTCATTAGAATTTTAGTAGAATTGTAGTACAATTTTAGTAGAATTTTATGAGAATTTTATGAGAACTTTATGAGAAGTTTATTAGAAGTTGTATGAGAATTTTATTGGAGGTTTATGAGAAGTTTATGAGAATTTTATTAGAATTTTATTCGAATTTTATAAGAATCTTATTAGAAGTTTATCAGAATTTTATGAGAATTTTATGAGAAGTTTATTAAATGTTTATGAGAATTTTATTAGAAGTTTATGAGAATTTTATTAGAAGTTTATGAGAATTTTATGAGAATTTTATGAGAAGTTTATGAGAATTTTATTAGAATTTTATTAGAATTTTATTGGCATTTTATTAGAAATTTATTAGAATTTTATTAGAAGTTTATGAGAATTTTATGAGAATTTTATGAGAATCTTATTAGAAGTTTATCAGAATTTTATGAGAATTTTATGAGAAGTTTATTAGAAGTTTATGAGAATTTTATTAGAATTTTATGAGAATTTTATTACAATTTTATTACAATTTTTTTATTAGAATTTTAGTAGAATTTAATTAAAATTTTATTAGAATTTTATTAGAATTTTATTAGAATTTCATGAGAATTTTATGAGAATTTTATTAGCAGTTTATGAGAAGTTTATTAGAATTTCATGAGAATTTTATTAGAATTTTATTAGAATTTCATGAGAATTTTATTAGAATTTTATTAGAAATTTATAAGAATTTTATGAGAATTTTATTAGAATTTTATTAGAAGTTTATTAGAAGTTTATTAGAATTTTATTAGAACTTTATTAGAACTTTATTAGAGCTTTATTAGAGCTTTATTAGAATTTTATTAGAATTTTACTAGAATTTTACTAGAATTTTACTAGAATTTTACTAGAACTTTATTAGAACTTTACTAGAATTTTACTAAAATTTTGCTAGAATTTTATTAGAACTTTATTTTAATATTTCTTGAGAAAGACTTTTTTTATTTATATTTTTACCTAAAGTCGATAAATTTACACTAGCAACACTGATATTTATTAATGGTGACAAAGTAACCGTAAAGTAGAGTGACTAAAATGAATATTGTCTAAAAAACAACCTATTAGTACTATCATGGCTCTGGAATTTATCGAACGATATCAACGAATAATGTGATAGTTCCAGATGTACGATAATATCATTTTCGAGTCTCTTCGGGTAAGATATTGCTGATACAAGATCTAACGAGCCATTAACATATCTAAATTGCTTGTTATTACATATTTACGATAAGATAGTGTCTATCACAGATTTATAATAATACCTTGAAAACAAACAACGAACAAAGTCTGCACTTAAAGAATTTTAATTTCGAAAATAGAAATATTCGAATATTGGAAAAGTATTTTCCAAAAGTGTCAATAACTACTCATAAACCAAAGAAGATATTCTTTCATATTTAATTAAATTCTTCTGCAATTTCAGATCTCAAAATTTCCACAGATCTCTCGTGAAATTTTCTTCATTTTTTAAATATTCAAATCATCTTGACACGCATATTAGCTCAAAAAAAAAAAAAAACATTCTACTTACTTTTGCTCATTTTCTCGATTCTCACTTTCGTGATCCCAATCAGAACGTGTTCGAAGATCGATCGAGACGAACGGTGGTCAAACGCGATGTTTTCGATTTTGGATTTTTTGTTGCGTTTCGAGACCCACTGCTCCTGGCATTTCTACGTTCGTGGAAACTGTTACCAGGCTTCACGTTAACATTTTTCGTTAACAGGTTTCGCTTGTTGTCGCGTATCTATGAGTGTGTGTTACTCATCTAGTGTCGCGGAGAACACTGCATGCCTGTTATTCAATTGCAATCACGCGAACCCTGAGGAGTCTTTCTGCGAACCTCCACCCGTACGGAAATAGTCGTGATAACGGTGATTACGCGTCCCGCGCGTTTCTTTAGAAATTAAGTTTTTTCGGTTCGACGGCGCGTTTTCGTACCAATGTCTCCTACACGGTGATCTATTATGCACTAATTACTCAGCTATGCGTTTGAATGCTATGTGTATTTAAATACATCGTTTGATATCAGTTTGTTCGTGAAGCAACTTCCAGATTTTAATTTTTAGTTGATAGAAGGATATTAGAATTTATGGAGTAAATAATACGAACGCATAGCATATTTTGTGAATTATTTTTGGGCAAAATTCTATGATTTGTTTTGTCGATTCTAGTATTCGATAGAGATGAGGTGATTATTATTACTATTCCTTTTTTTTAATTTCTGGTTAATAGAGAAATATTATTAATTAGAGACGAGGTGATTGTTGTTACTATTATTTTTTTTTTTTTAATTTCTGGTTAATAGAAGGATATTATTAATTTTTTAAGTAAGAATTTATGGAGTAAATAATAGAGGAAACATATTCTATGATTTGTTTTATTGATACTAGTATTCGATAGAGATTGAGTGATTGTTTTGTTTTTTTTATTGTTATTACTATTTTTAATTTCTAGTTAATAGATGGATATTATTAATTTTTTAAGTAACAATTTATGGAGTAAATGATAGAGGAAAAACATTTGAACGTATAACATATTCTGTGAGTTATTTTTAGGCACAATTCTATGATCTGTTTCATTGATACTATTGATACTATAGAGATGAGGTGATTGTTTTGGAGAAAGCTTTGATCAAAACCAAAATCTTCCAGGAAAGATTTCAAGAAAACCAAAAACAGAAATATATTGTCCAAATTTAGTGTAAGGGAGAGTTACTTCAAAATTGAATAAAGATGAAAGATTTAAGCTAAAAAACAATAGTTCTACTGACACTAGAGACAAACAAGAACCTCGATTGAACATGCAAAAACACAAAAGAATGATCTTGAATAATAACGTTGCAATAAGAACAGTTATGGCCAAATATTCATCATACTTCAGAAATTAATAGCCAAGGGACTATAGAAATTCTATAGAATTCATCTGAATTCAATATAATTGTAATTCAATATGATTATAATTCAATATAATTCGAAATAATTCGAAATAATTCAATATAATTCGAAATAATTCGAAATAATTCAATGTATACGATATAATTCAATATACAAATTCGAAATAATTCAATATAATTCAATATAATTCGAAATAATTCAATATAATTCAATATAATTCGAAATAATTCAATATAATTCAATATAATTCAATATAATTCGAAATAATTCAATATAATTCGAAATAATTCAATGTATTCGCTTTAATTCAATATACAAATTCGAAATAATTCAATATAATTCGAAATATTCAAAAATATTTAATATAATTTAATATAGTTCGATATAATTCAATATACAAATTCGAAATAATTCGAAATAATTCAATACAATTCAATATAATTCAATATAATTCGAAATAATTCAATATAATTCGAAATAATTCGAAATAGTTCAATATAATTCGAAATAATTCAATATATTCGATATAATTCAATATACAAATTCGAAATAGTTCAATATAATTCGAAATAATTCAATGTATTCGATATAATTCAATATACAAATTCGAAATAGTTCGATATAATTCAATATAATTCGAAATAATTCAATACAATTCAATATAATTCAATGTAATTCGAAATAATTCAAAATAATACGAAATAATTCAATATAATTCGAAATAATTCGAAATAATTCAATGTATACGATATAATTCAATATACAAATTCGAAATAATTCAATATAATTCAATATAATTCGAAATAATTCAATATAATTCAATATAATTCAATATAATTCAATATAATTCAATATAATTCGAAATAATTCAATGTATTCGCTTTAATTCAATATACAAATTCGAAATAATTCAATATAATTCGAAATATTCAAAAATATTTAATATAATTTAATATAGTTCGATATAATTCAATATACAAATTCGAAATAATTCGAAATAATTCAATACAATTCAATATAATTCAATATAATTCGAAATAATTCAATATAATTCGAAATAATTCGAAATAGTTCAATATAATTCGAAATAATTCAATATATTCGATATAATTCAATATACAAATTCGAAATAATTCGGAATAATTCGAAATAGTTCAATATAATTCGAAATAATTCAATGTATTCGATATAATTCAATATACAAATTCGAAATAGTTCGATATAATTCAATATAATTCGAAATAATTCAATACAATTCAATATAATTTAATATAAATCGAAATAATTCAAAATAATACGAAATAATTAAATATAATTCGAAATAATTCGAAATAGTTCAATATAATTCGAAATAATTCAATGTATTCGATATAATTCAATATACAAATTCGAAATAATTCGGAATAATTCGAAATAGTTCAATATAATTCGAAATAATTTAATGTATTCGATATAATTCAATATACAAATTCGAAATAGTTCGATATAATTCAATATAATTCGAAATAATTGAACATAATTCGAAATAATTCAATATAATTCGTAGTAATTCGAAATAATTCAATATAATTCGAAATAATTCGAAATAGTTCAATATAATTCGAAATAATTCAATATATTCGATATAATTCAATATACAAATTCGAAATAATTGAATATAATTCGAAATAATTCGGAATATGTTCGATATAATTCAATATACAAATTCGTAATAATTCGAAACAATTCAATATATTCGATATAATTCAATATACAAATTCGAAATAATTCGAAATAATTAGAAACAATTCTATATAATTCGAAATAATTCAATATATTCGATATAATTCAGTATACAAATTCGAAATAATTTAATATAATTCGAAATAATTCCATATAATACAAAATAATTCAATATAATTCGAAATATTCCAAAATATTTAATATAATTCAATATAATTCGATATAATTCAATATACAAATTCGAAATAATTCAAAATAATTCGAAATAATTCCATATAATTCAATATAATTCGAAATAATTCAATATACAAATTCAAAATAATTCAATATAATTCGATATAATTCGAAATTATTTCCTCAAATTCGAAATAATTCAATATAATTCAGTACACAAATTCAAAATAATTCGATATAATTTGAAATAATTCAATATAATTCAATATACAAATTCGAAATAAGTCAACATAATTATAGTTCAATACAATTCGAAATAATTCGATATAATTCAACATACAAATTCGAAATAATTCAACATAATTATAGTTCAATACAATTCAATTATTTAATTCCAATCAATTGAAAAAATCCCGTTCGAATTTCAAGCCCCGTTGGTCTCCCATAATAAAACCAATAAATAACGAATAAAATTCGTCCAAGAAACGAAGTATTCAGATACTACAGTAGTTGACGAGAACTCACAGAGTCACCAAGCCCCAAATATCGAAACTAACATACTTAAAAGAGTACTTTTAATTACACCTCTGGGGGGAATAATAAAGAAGAGAACACCGAACACCGAAACAAGTATAATTGCAGAATGAATAGCCACCGTGAGCGATTTAACGAAGAAAATGTGTGGCTAAAGAAGCACTAATTTGATCGTTTTCTCTGGTCTCTATCATTCAATTCACGATATCGTCAATTGTAGAATTAAGAGAAGCAAGGGGAATTCAGTGCATGGTAATTTCTTATCGCACAGTGGCTAACAATAAACGATGATAAGAGCTAATATTTGCGCCCGAAGGATACTAGTCATTTCGTAATAATCTGTCACGATGTCACTATCGTTTATTGTATCTAATTGTCTAGGCATTTATTTATTTATTGACAAATCCACCGATCGATCGTATCGAGAATCTCTACGCTTTCTTGTTTTATTTCTAAATCCATTCTAAATCCCCGTTTTATTTTTGGCTTATTTTCATTATCACGTTACATGACGACTGAAGAAATTTAAAAAAGAAATTCTGACTTTTTGTAAATTATTTATCAAAAAGAAAAGTGTACAAATTAGTTTCCTTTTTGTAAAAATGATAGAAAGTTATGCAAACGATATAAATAATTCTTATTTTCATTATCTGGTACATCGACAAAAATATACGACAACTAAAGAAATTTAAAAAAAAAATACTGACTAGGCTTTTTCTAAATTATTTATCAAAAAAAAAAAAAAGTGTTCAAATTAGTGTGTTCCTTTTTGTAAAAATGATAGAAAGTTATGCAAACGATTTTAAAATAATATTTTATAAATTCCAAGATTTCTGTTACTGTTAAATGAATTTCCAATTAAATACAAATAAATAAAATATTATACACGTGCCACTGGAGTTCCTAATGTTAAAGTTTACAGTTCAATCGTTATTTACGTGCTACAGTTTATGTAACAGCGAAAAATGTTCGAGCCACATTTCTGTGTTACGTAACATAGGAAACGTTTTTTAGATGAAGATATCTTGGTCGATTTTGATAAGTCATCATTCGATTCACGGAATTCGGATTTGATCGATGGGAATTGGAAAATTTTCAAACTGTTTTTAAAACTGTTACGAATATAAAAATAAGTAAAAATATCTTCACGATTAATTAATTCTTTTGATTTAACTGGCGTAAACAGTTACATAGAAGTTATCTAACTGAACGACTGACAGTTGCAGAATATGCAATTATTGTAAAACGAGATTTCTTTAGTAATTTTTTTGCAAGATACAGTTTGTGTATGATTTATTATTTTATTCTGACTTGACCATGTCTGATGCTTGTTTTCGACGTTGGTTAATCCACTGTTATTAATGATTTCACCGAACATTAGAAAAATCCGAACTGGTTGCAATTTTGCTGTGTCGCAATGAACGAGGCCGAACTTACAA